GCTGGTTATAATCCTGACGACTGGAAATCTCTCCTCGAGAGACAACTTCGAGCCAGTTTCACGACTCTCACCAAAGATTCGATCTTGTCTGTGCGGGGAGTCAAAGGAGAGGAATTCCGCTTCTTGGTGGACAAGTTTGGGCCGGAAGGTGATGGAATTTGTGTGGTCGACACCGATTTGGAGGTGGATATTGAGGCACTCAACGAGGAGCAGGCGAGAGAAACACTTCGGCAAATCGCTGCCAAGGCGCATCAAGCACCAGGTGCCACCTCTGGAAGCTCGGTTGGGCACACGATAGACATCTGGAAAGATGTTGAGGGCCAGGTCCTGGAGGGAGAGTATGTCGACTACGACCTCCCGTCGTGGGACAAGTCCCGCCCGATTGCCATCGAGTTGACCATCGCGGATGGCCAGGAGGTCGATTTATTTGTGAGCCCGAAGTCCAGGCGACAACGCAACACGCCCCGGGACTATGAGCATATCTTTGGGGATTTCTCTTCGCCAGCTGATGGTGTGAAGCGAATCGTCATACAACCCACCAACGTCGTGCTTGAGGATGCGGAGGCGTTGCTGATCTCCGTGCATGGATTTTCACTCACAGACAGTAGTGGCACCAGTTCGAACCTAAGGCGCTTCACCCTCAGGGCCAAATCCGCCGAAATGGAGGGCTCATCTACATCACCAATAGCTCTTGGCTCTTCGCTGGCGAGGTCTGCAGACGAGGACCAATGCAAGAACTGCCGGCAGTGGATTCCAAAACGCACCATGATGCTGCACGAGAACTTTTGTCTTCGGAATAACGTTCTCTGTCCCCATTGCAACAACGTGTTCAAGAAATCCTCTGAAGAATGGGCCAACCACTGGCACTGTCCAACACATCAAGGCGCCTACGGGTCCAACGCGATAAGCAAAGAGAAGCACAACTTCGTCGAGCACACGAACCACATCTGCCCTTCGTGTGGACCATCATTTACATTCCCCTCTCTGTCAGAAATCGCCCGCCACCGGACTACAGTATGCCCAAGCAAGCCCGTTCTCTGTCAGTTCTGCCACCTCGAGGTCCCCCAAGAAGGCGACCCTCTCGACCCATCATCCGAAGCGGAAACTGTACTCTCTGGCCTTACCGCCCACGAACGGGCTGATGGGGCTCGGACTACAGACTGTCACTTATGCGGCGCCATCATCCGTCTTCGGGATATGACGGCTCACATCGCGCATCACGAGCTGGACAAGGTCTCGCGAGCGAAGCCACAGGTGTGTAGGAACGGGCTCTGTGGACGGACTCTCAATGGCGTTGGACCGCGCGGCCAAATAAATAGTGGTACCCGGATGGGTCAGGGGCCAGGCAACGACCTCGGCCTGTGCAGTCTGTGTTTCTCACCTCTCTATGTCAGCATGCATGATCCAGAGGGCAAAGCGTTGCGTCGTCGGATCGAGAGGCGCTACCTAACGCAGCTCATAACCGGATGCGGGAAGAAGTGGTGCTTTAACGAATGGTGCAAAACAGGGCGGGCGAATCGTGGCCTGGAGAAACTCGGATCCAGCGCCGCCACGGCACTCCCACTGGTGAAGCCGCTGTTGGAGGATATTCGAGATCATAATCAGCCCACGCACTTTTGCGTGGACGAGACAAACCAGCGCAAGAAGACGATGGCTGGACTATTAGCCGCTGAGAGTGTGTGGGAGTTAGAGTGGTGCATTGCTGCACTCGAAGCAGAGGGTGCTGATCTCAACAAGGCCAGGGGTTGGCTCAACGACTGGGCGCCTACGAAACTAGCGAGATGATGGAGCATGGGCACCGGAGCATAGGAGCGTGGGAATGTGCGGTAATGGGCACCATGATAACGACTACTACATCTCGCATCCGGGGTCTGGGCTGACACAATGCTCACGATACCCCATGTCGGCAACTAGAAGCCTCCTGGCGTTTGAAGAGGGCACATAGAGGAGAAATTCAACTTCGATTGTTTCGTTCTAAGCGTCTCTACCTTCAACAATTTCCGCATACACTTTTCATCCTGGCCTTTTGTCTAGCAATCCGAGCTCTTTCCCTCAATGTCTCAACCTCAGTGACCCTAGGGTTGTTGATATGTCAGTACTCAGTGTCTGTCACAAGTATGGCGACACTTACGCAGCAACCGCAGTTGTTGCAGGTCGCGCAAGAGCACTGGTTACAGCCGCAAGGATCCATGTTGGCGCTAATGGTGGCTTTGGGGTGTGAGAAATCGGTTCAGTGTCAGGTTTGATGATATGTGGTGGGTCCGTTGAAGAAGAGGGCTCTCCGAAGAGGGGATGAAGCTTGCCTTTATACCCGAACAGCAACCTGCTCACACTAGACCTTTGGTCGTCCAAGACAGCTTGACGGCTGCGTTATCGGGCCTGAGAAACATAGCTCTTGTCCAGCCCGCGCGGTTGCGGCGCCCGCCGAGGAGACACACCGGCGTGGCTTCCAAGCAGCATTCTGCAGCTGCTACTGGCTGGCAAGTCAAGCCCACTGGAATTCCCTGATGGCTTACCACGGTTCGGTCACTCAAGCATCAGGCCACCTTAGGGAATTCTTGGTCAGCCAAAGCAAGCATCCGAGAGGCCGGCCATCAAGTGGCGCCCTGTCGTCCTCGGGCCGTAGGCGGGCCGCCGTGGAACGCAAACATGCCGACGACTTGATGGGGCAAACCGGCAAGGCCGCCAGAGTGGAGAGACGCAGCTCCGTCCGAAAAGACCTTTCCAGAAACCCGGTAACCGGGCCCAGGCCAATCCGACGCCGCAGTTCCCGTCACGGTGTGGTAGCCACACGGTGACACGGCAGCCAGTCTGGTTTCGGCGCGCCGTCCTCGTCCCAGTGCCAAAAGCTGTCGTCAACTAAACTGCCCGAGTCCCCGACCCACCCACAGAAGAGTCAGAGAGACTCAGAGTTCACCGACTAAGCGTCGAACCGGAGCTGCATAGGGCTTGAGATTCAAGGCTGTCTGCATCTTCGCGCTGACTACGATTGGTCTGATATAGCGGCGACTCTACCAATCTGTTTTTCAGTGTACGAATGTCCTAGCCAGTAGGAACAGACAATTCTGCCATCCCCAACACTTTACACTGCAACAGGCTCGCGCTGGGGTCCAGGTTGTTCGAGACGGTCGTGAAACCCCACGAGTCTTGGCATCCCGAGTAATGCCTCGCCCCACCAACCATTGCCACCTCCCGTTCGCCAACGACCTCCCGTCCTCGACGCTGTGCTATCCGACAAGTCAAAAGGAACACCCGTCAAAGAAACTCACTTTGAATATCGCGCAAGCCGGCTCGGCACTCCGCTCTCGTCACTTGGCAAACAGCGCATCCCCCGCGAAGCAATGCACCACCACAATCCACTCCTCCTTCTCCTCGCCACCCTCCTCACACCCACCCACGCCCTCCCCGAACCCGGGCCTGGACCGGGGCCCGCAGAAGACGTCCCCGCCAGCGGCCAAATTCAAGAAGACACTGCAGGCCAAGTCACCATCAACGACGATCCCACCTCCAACAACACAGAATCCAACCTCCCCATCACCGCAACCATCTTCACCGGCGTCCCCGGTCCCTACCACTGCCGCGGCGGCGTCATGCTCAAAATCTCCATCCCTCCTCCCCCACCATCACCCTCCGGCACACCCATCCTCACTGCGCCACAATGCATCGATATGCCCTCCCCCGCGGGGTGCGCCAACTTCGTCGCGAACAAAGTGGACGGGTGCGAAGCGAGGTTGTTTGCAGAGCCAAAGTGTAGGATGTATGTAAACACTGCCGTTTTCGTCCCAGAGGAGAGAGTATTCGGGGGGCTGTGGAGGAGTTTGGAGGTGAGGTGTGGCGTTCCGGCTCCGGAGCCGGATCAGGTGGGACAGGTGCCTTTTGCTGGGTTGCTTGAGGGGGCGAAGAGGAGGCCAAAGGGGGGGAGGTAGGGAGGACGATTTGGACTTGGAGGGGACTGTATGGCGTGATTTGGTGATTGGCTTTAGCGTCTACGAGAGTTGATCTTTTGGGGTTCAGGGGCGTTCCGGGAAGGGAATGTCATTTCATTCTGGAGTTGGGGGAGCGTTAACGGTTAGGTTTTCTTGGGTGATGTTTTCTTGCATGTACCGGACTAGAAGACATGAATAGACGTGGATAAGTACTATGATGTAGACTCAACTGTATCAAACGGACAATACAATCATGATTAGAGACGGCAGTACCTCAATGGAACCTGTTTGCATCAGGGATATTTTCACTGATTCTACTTCAGCCTGCGAGTCGAGCTCCTGTCGAAGACCCCGCCCTCAGCCGGATTTCTTATCAAGTCCTAGCGTGCAGTTCCCAACGTGTCACTGCAGTTTGTTCGCTCCTGTCGCCCTGCGGCGCTGGGCCGAGGTCCGGCACTCTGTGCCCCTAACTACACAATCTCTGCGTTGCTTCCCGCGTGGCGAACTTTGTGAAATATTGAATACCCAATCTCCCAAATCACAACCAATGCATTTGGATCAAGCAGCAATTCGAGTACCGTCATAGCATGCTGCTGTCGGCCTGCGGCGGGTGCCGAGGTTTGATATCCCGTGCTGTCAACCATTGCACCGTGCTTCTATGCTGCCTCTAGCGTGCTTTTGTTTTTCCCAGAGTGGCGAGTTTGTCATATATTGATTCTTGGGGGGTACTCCCCACCTAATCTACGCGTTTAATTCAACTTCCAAGGCGGAGGTGGATGTCCATCCCGCTGTGGACCTCTGCCGAGCTCTCAAACTAGGATGGAGCCCACACTAAGCAGCCCATGCAAAGAAGCAAAAACAGAACCCACAAGACGGGAGCCCTATCCCCACCCACCAAGCCCTAGCTGCCACTCCTTAAGCGAGATTTCAAGGGTTGTTTTTCAACAATCGGATATGGTGTAGTGGCTTGCATCGCTAGCTCTCAACTTTGAGTACTCAGCAGCCCAGGGTTCGATTCATCGTTCCCGAGATCCCAGGCACGACCGAACTATAGTGGGTGGCAACATCCACACATCTTCCGTAGTATAGTGGTCAGTATGTGAGCTTGTCATTCTTATTGAAGGTCGATTTCGCTCGAGACCCGGGTTCAATTCCCGGCGGGAGAGAGATATGATGCCTGGGCAGCCAGGTGTGCCTGGCTTTTTGCTCGTGGTCAGGAGGGCTTGTTCTGCCTCGCAGTGATGTCCTCCTGCGGCTCTCAGCTGCCCTCCATTCGGAGTGGGGATGGCGGTTGCCCGGTTTCTGTGTGGCGATGATGCCGAGGAGGGGCAATGAGGCTCTGGCTGATCGCCAAGCAGCTACGCACTTGGTGCATTGACCTGACATAATCCTGCATTCGGAATGGTGCAGACTAGCGGATACGTCCCCATGTACTGGACGGTCACCTGCTCCTCGGTGAAGGAGGGTATCATGACGCAGCTCGCAGATATCGAGCGAGAAACAGGTTCCAGAGCTGACTCAGGAGGATCTATTGATGCAGCCGAGTCCTGCGAGTGTGTCTGTGTGTCGGTGTTTGCGAGCAACATGAGGTGAGGTTTTGGTCAGGAGATGAGGGGGTCGTCTTGCGACCCATCGAAGATACGCCGGCAACAAGGCTGGATAGAGGGAGTTCCTCGCGATATCGGGCCTACTGACTGGCGTGAGTCGTTGTTTGTCTTGCGAGAGACAGGTGGCGTTCGCGCTGTTTCCGCTTTCAGTCTGTAGTGGTTGCTCAGCTCACCATCAGTCTCGGTGGAGATGTGAAAGAGGAGGGGAAGAATGAGGTGTAGACGTGATTTGTAGGATGGCATACCCATGTATCCTGCTCGCGATTGGCTCGTAGAAGTGCTCGGTCGTAGCCGTAAGCCGTCTGAGGGAGCTCACCACAGCTCATTTGCGGGAAGTGATCAGCGCGCTGCGGAAGCAGGGGCCGGGAGCGGGCTCGTTGTCCTGAGTTCGTCAGTCTTTGTGATAACCTTGCCCTGTGGCTGCATAAATTCGGATGCAAGGCGCGAGAACTGGAAGAAAATCAACGTTGGTTGGTGTTGCGAATCCGCCTGAGCGTCCCGACCCGCAGCCACCCCTGCATCCCGTTACGAGTTGGGGGCTTGATGGCACCCAATACAGCTGCGACGGCGAGGCGTCGAAGCACGACTTGGAGGTGAGCGGATTCGGTACCGGTGGTCTCATTGGTTGGCTTCGCTGGCCCGATCGTGGCATTCGGTTTCCCGTGTTTTAGTATCTCGCCGCACCCTTCTGAGCAATCCTCCGCTGTCATCATGCTGTCAAGCCGTGTCTCGGGACCCGGAGTCGCTCGCAATAGCAGGTACGACGTTACCATACCTCACCTGACATCTAAGCTTCATATCGGCCGTAGCACTCCGGGCGGAGCCACAACCGTGTCGGGCCTGACATTGAGCCAAGGAAAGGGCTGCGAGGGCTGCGATCCAAGCCCAGATGCGCCATCTTGGCGCCTCTGCGGGGAATGGAGATGACACGCTGCGGCGATCAGCGGGCTAGCTGAAAGAAAACGACTTGAAGTGAAGGCAGGAACGCCAGGTTGGTGCCTGCAGCATCACCTGCATTTTACCCCTCGCAGGACTCGCCTCCCAGCAAACGTGCCTGCCGCCCGCGCCGCGCTAACGCACCTCCGCCGCGCTCTGCAGACTCTGCATGCGCTACATTGTGCGCTTTCTTCTGGAAATTACCACATGGAATATGGCATCGGTGCCGGCAGTCGTTCGTTCCCCTCTCATCTTGCTGCTCACCGAATCAGCCTCTCGAGCGAGCCCTCTCCGCACAGCCCGCGCGTTCTCGGCACGCCGAGAGGACCTCGATGCACTGCAACCCCCCAATAGTGTGCTGAGCTGCCGATACCACCTCATTCTGGCGCCCCCGTCGCTGCGCCGCCCTCACTCGTCCAAGCCGATTCGGGCGCAAAGATTCGGCGGGCGGAATGCGCTAACGGGTCAGCTCGGGTGCTGCCACCAGCGAGGGATGAGATGCGGGCTGCCTCATGAGGGGAAGCGACGATGGGCAGCTACAGAGACGACGTTGAAGATGATCTGCAAAACCCAAACCTGAGCCGCATGTCGTGCAAGCAATAGCCGCTGGACTATAGTGTCTGAGATCAGGAACACATACATAACCTACAGGATCGGTCCGAGCGCGTACAGCCTGCACAGCACGATCCGTTCGGTCGGGTCGGCCAGCCGTTGCAGGAAACAGAAAGCGGCTGGTGCGTGCCTGCATCTGCCTGCGTATGTAATCTACAGCAGCCAGGGATGCTCTGACGGCTCGCTGCCTATACCACACCCTGTCCGGAAACACAGTGGGGCCGTGGCTGGAGGAGCCAACTACCACCCACCCCTCAATCAACGACGGAGCATCGGCCCACACAAAAAGTGTGGCGATGTTCCATTTTCCGTCCAGCTGTCTCCACAGAGATGCTCTGCTAGCGTCGTCGGCGCCTAGCCCCCGCTGGACTTTTGAGGACGCAGGCTGCCGGCGGTGAAATTTAGTCATTTGGACGGGCTGCAAGCCATCCCAGGGGTTGGCGTCCGTCCTTAGCCCGGAGCCCAGTGCTGTCAACCCACCCGGATAGGGGAAGGTTGACTCAAATTATCGACACCGGGATGCAAGTCTCAGCCCGCCGAGCCTGCTACACCATGCCCGGACCGTTTACAGATCCGCCTGGGAGCCCCACGGAAATGCTACCTACCCGCATGGCACGCGGACATGGACACCGCCTTGAAGGACCCTAATTGACGAGCTGAGACCGAGCGTAAGGGACCCAAATGGGACCAGAGCGAGACGGAGAGAAAATAGAAAAGGAGGTGCTACCCAGTGGTTTTGGCGATGCGTCTGCTCACCCACTCGCTTGACAGCTCCCAAGTTGTCAAGATTTTGTGTAGTCCTTCGTTTGAAACAACACCTCTTTCTATCCCGCAAACACCTCTTGCTGCGTCAGAATCATGAAGCACTTTGCCGCCCTTCTCCTGTCCGCTTGCCTCGCCAGCCAGGCGGCAGCGCAGTTCACTTTCAAAGTCGAAGCCACCTTCAAGGGGAGACCCATCCCTCAGTCCGAGATCAAGCTTGAGCGCATCGACATCAAGAAGAACTCTCCGAGCACAGTCAAGTTGCTCCCTGAGAAGGCCAGCAAAGCTGAAGCGGACCCGATTGTCAGGAAGAGAGCCAACCCTACCGCTGCCAGCGCCAACTGGTGCGGCTCCGTCAACCACGCCACCAATGCCAACCAGATCAAGCTCATCCACGCCTACTACCAACATCCCACCTGCACCAAGCGAACCGGAGTAACTCAATACCCCCAAGCGGTGGCTGCTTGGGCTGGCATTGATGGAGATTCTTGGCCAGGCGCCCTGCTGCAGTCAGGGACCGTCTGCAAGATCGACAACTCCACCGGAATCGTGAGAAACGAGGCATGGTGGCAGTGGCTCCCGAATGGTGCTTACACCATCAGCTCTCTCCCTGGTTTGTCCACCCCCATTCTTTCGCCTTCTGGCTCTGGGTCTAACAAAACTTTTCCAGTGGCCGCCAACGACTGGTTCGAAGTCACCATCAACACCACCTCTAGCACTTCTGCCAAGGTGTACGCATCCCCTTCTCTCTCACGGAATGTCGAGAAGCTAACCGTCACTCCAGCACTCTTTCCAACATCAGCCAAGGTTACGCCTACACCATCACTATCAACAACGGTCAGGCTCTCGGCCGACTTGACGCTGACTGGGTCGTTGAGCGTCCTTACTACGGCTCTGGCCTGTCGGGCTTCGCCTCTTTCACGGATATCTGGTTCCAAGACGCATACGCTACCCGAGTGTCAGGCTCGCTTGGCATTCTTGGTGCTACTCAGCTCCAGATCCCGCTTCTTTGCGCCTCGTCGGAGTATGACAACGCGAACCAGGTTTCTTGGTCTCTGTAAGGGCCGGTCGTCGCGGAAAGGAAATGGCGGGATGAACGTGGCTGCTAATGATCGGATGTATGAGCTCACGATGAGATACGAGAGGATGTCATTACTTCTTTTTCGCACGGGGTGTGCCACCGGGGTTTTTGAGAACTCTTTTTCTCACATGATACCTATTGCTTAGTACGTTTAAGGGATCGCATTGGTTCAATATGAGGAGACTACTTCCCTCACGTCAAGCTGCTTGATTCAAATTGCGAGAGGACTCAGGGACAGAGCTGCTCCAACGACTTCCATGTGAACTTCTTTTACTGAGAGGATATCCAAACAAAGCAATTGTGTCCCGGTCTCCGAGCTCCAAATCTGTGCGCAGTTCACTCCCAATACCCCTGGACGCTTCTTTCAATATCTGTAATCAAAAGGGAAAACCCGTTCTTCACCTTCCCCAATACTCCCACTTTTCACCTTCGACCCTAACCCTCTCTCCCGATCCATAGCCCCCGTCATGCGGATCCCGATCTCGCGCCATCATCAACCATCTCATCACTCACTCTCAACCTCGAGACACACCAACTTGCAATGGCCACCCTCCGCGTAAGACACCAAGACGCCCACGAGTTCGTCGTGAACCTCCTCAAGGCATCCGGCGTCTCTGCATCCCATGCGGCCATCGTCGCCCAGGGATTGGTCGAGGCCGATCTCCGCGGGGTCGACTCGCACGGCATCAACCGCATCCCGTCGTACCTCGCCCGTATTCGCGCTGGTGTTTTGGATCCCAAGGCTGAGCCGACTCTTACGCAGGTGACGCCTGTTGTTGCACAGGTTTCGTTTCCCCCTTTTGGCTCATCTCGATTCTCATCCCCTCTTCTTCTGTCCCCCCATTTTCATTACTCCGGACTCCTCCCCGAGCTGACACTAAACAAAGGTAAACGCCCACAATGGCTTCGGCTCCCCCGCAGCCCACCTCGCCATGTCCACCGCCTGCACCATCGCATCTACCTTCGGCATTGGTCTCGTCTCCGTCAAGCACTCCAACCACTTCGGCATGTCCGCCTGGCTCGTGCGCCAAGCCGTCGACCGCGGCATGATGAGTCTCGTCTTCACCAACTCCTCTCCCGCCCTGCCCGTCTGGGGCGGCAAGTCCCAACTCATGGGTGTATCCCCCATTGCGTGCGGTGCACCAGGTGGAAACGATTCCCGCCCGTT